TCAAGGTATGAGCGCTATGCTAAACCTCATTCCTTGTGTGATCTCTGGATGCTCCTCCAGCCTGTTTTCACCCGAAACTAGGGAGGATGTCTCGTGGACTGGGTTAACCTGAAGGTCATATTAAAGCCAAACAGCTGCGGTACAACAGGGGTCAGTCGTTGTCGTCTGGTGAGCCGACATTCTAATATCTTCTCCATGCACTTTTATACAAAATTAAAGTATCCCCAACACTAATATAATAAGCAAACGCAATTGCTGGGCATTATTATAAACTTTAGAAGCACATTGTGGCATGCGCTTCAATCCCTTGAATTGAGGATCAGTCGTCATTTTTTATCCACTATCTCATTTGATTCTGCAAAGGAGAAATAATGTTGGGAATCATTGACAAACAGTTTATCTTTACGTAATTGTTGAACACTAGCTGGGCTTGTCTCTTCGAAACAGGTCCATTGACGTCTAATTTTGTGTTGCCTCTCTTATAATTCACTATTCTGAACGCACCTTAGTTGTGCGGCAGACCAATAACTGGCCGGGTCCAATATCTTTGAAGGCGATTAGTTTTAATGATGGAATACTGCGGCACTTCTGGAAGGTTCAGCCTTTGCCGAAAATCCTGACGCAGTGTGCTATACCTTTTTTCAATATACCTGGTAGGCAGTCTGGCTTTGGTCTTACAACATTTGGGGCTGGAGCTTTACTGGCTCTACTGCTAAATTGACTGGTCTGCTCGTACAATCTCCAATTGATGAACTATCTGCATACAAGTGACACGGGATTATTTTAAGTTCCTTTTGTCGCTGTTGAATTCATTGCCCTCATTTCATTCCTTTAACGTCATTTCTAGTCATAGTTGGAGCGCCTCGTATTGTTTAGTAGTGCTACTACTAGCCAGAAGAGGATCATTAATGTTGTTTTATCCTTCATTTCGTATGAAAATGCGGTAACTTACTTTGCAGTTATTACTGCATTTAAACGAACAAGTCCTTAGCACACTGAATTCATCAGGGTCGCCAGACAGCGTGTCGAGGACTTCTTCGAACAAACCAAACAATCAAAAGCAACGCTCCTTCGGCTTCCATAAAGGCCAATTTGCCAATCCCCTCCATACACAACAAGATGAATATTTTAAGAGCTTCTTCGGAACTCAATTTTTCTTCATATCTACGAGGATCCTCAAATTTGGTAATGCTACCTGTCGAGGTCAAGTTACTTTTTATGATACCTTTTTATTAGATTTTCTTCTCCTACTTCTGAACTTTTACTCAGGGTAGGCCCTTTTAGGTGAATGCCTTATGCAAATGAGAACAAATAATGTAGGGTTGATAGCTGAATTTCCTGCGGTGAATTGAGTTTAGGGCTGGACAGCAATTTCGGCCTAGTGAAACGGGATTCCATATCGGGTCATAAGCGTCAAGTTTCAAGCCTTAGCCAACCAAGAATGGCTTATTTGATCTTAGACGCGAAAATTGTCATTGTTGACTCTTATGAATTTCCAACCCCTGTTCTTTTTTTCAAATGTCTCGCGCGCTTACTGCCAATACTCTGATTATGTTGGCTTAGTGATACAACCAACTTCCTGCCTCGTTTAAGGGATTGCGCATGTTCACGAAGTCTACTGTCCGCCTTCTTGATCCCTAAACCTTCACTCAGAGACCATTCCCATGTTCTAGTTCATCTATAGATTTCACAGCGCACTCGTCTCGGTAACACTCGGGACGATCATAGCTACATGAACCAAAAAGCTTCACGAACTGCAGATTCTTGTTTGGCTTTTATACTTGGTCAACATACAGCCGTGTGCACTTTCATCAAGTTGAGTCGTCAAATGAAGGCAACCAACACTAGCTTTCCCTTTCTCTGAGACTATATTGCCTTTTACGTCTATTCGGCTTTAATTGGTCCGATTCATTTTTTCAGTGTCTATTATTCGATCTCATTGACGTAATTTGTTGTTACCCTTTCGTCTTATCCTTGACTGAGAATTTATTCTGAAGTCGGGTCGCGCCTTGACTAACTTAAGATACGAAGAGAAACTAGGTTTCGATGAATCCCCTGCAATAACATTGTTGGAGGGGACTTCGATTTCATGTGAGAAATTACATGATGGTGAGATTCGTAGGTCGATCTCATCAGAAGGTGACGACGGAATCCCGTTGTATTGCAGCTTAATATACAGCTTTTATACGACGTTCAGGTTGACGCAGTCCACGTGACCTCCTTCTTTTAGGGTGAAAACGGGCTGAGCTTTACTTCGATGGAAATCATCAGAGATAGATCTCATTCCTGTAAAAGTATCACGCTTCTTGTCCTCGTGTTAACGTGAGACTTTTACCAGAATGAGTCCCAGCTCTGATGATGTCAATCGAATGATTGCCGAAAACTCAGCCCGTTTTCACCCGAAACGAAAGAGGAGGTCTCGCGGACTGCGTCAACCTGAGCGTCGTATTAAAGCCAAACTGCTGCAGTACAACGAGATTCAGCCGTCCTCTTTTGGTGAGATCGACATACAAGTCTCTTCTTCATGCAATTTCATACGGAATGAAAGTCCTCCCAACAATTGACTTACTTAAGCATTAGACTGAGCACATTTGGCTGCATGACTCCTAAACTAAAGCAACACTTGGGCATTATAAATCACTCACATTGAACACTAGATTTAGTGGATGACAGCAATTAATAACATGATCCATCGTGTGCGATCCCTCCTTTTCAGCTAAAACTCTATTCTAACTGGGAGATTTGCATCTTTTTTACACTTTCTTACTTTTTCAATACTGCTTGCTTCCTTAGAAATATTTTACTATCTTCCAATTATACGCCTCATTTAACCGTTCTTTCATCTCACAATATTTTCTCTTCAAACAAATTTATAGCTTTTCCTGCGGACACGAACCTCCAAGCCTACCTTCTTGCTCAGCGATACATAGAAGAGTTACAGAAGTTCCTTGAAGAAGACAACTACAAAGCATCGCTTCGCCTGGAGCCACCCCCACCGCCTCAGCCGCCTCCAGGGCCACTGCCACAGTCCAAGTTATCGGTTCTTTCGCCGTCTTCAACCCACTTCGGTCACAAGCTCTCATCTGCATCTGTGACATATGCTGTTGGCTTATCTACAGTAAACCAACTGTCGACGAATGAGCAATACCCTGGCATGCCTTCCTCCTCCAGACTACCCGGCTTGGGCATAAGTCCTTGTCACAACTCGTTCCAGCTTGAGGCTGGTCACACTGCCTCCGGTGTTTCCGTGTCATCCCCTTCTTTCTCTTCGCCCTCTCTGTTCGCATGGGACCTCTTATCCCAACCTGTGTCTCCATGTCCTGGAAAGGCAGTTACACTCAATTCTAAGCCTCCCTCCTGCTATTCCCCCGCAGCATCTGCTTCTCCTTCTGTAAACGCCCCTCCTGAATCACCTTTGAAGTCTACTTGTACTAGTTTGTATGCGGATTCTTTTGCGGCTAGTGGCTCGCAACCGGTACTGCTCGAGCCCTGGCCAGAGGCATCTATTCCACATCTGTCAACTCCCAAAGGACGGTGTCAGTCGCACCCTGAAGAAAGTGAAACACTGGATGGATATCCCCAGATTCGACCACTTCTACCGTGCACATTGACCAGCTTGCCGGGGCTGCTAGAATCCCCGGACAAAGCGAATACACCCCTGGAAGTGCTCTCCTCTCAGGTGTGACAATATGACTAAGCCATTTATACAAGCGGATGTGTGGGCTAGGTGTAGGAGTGAACCACTTGAGAGTTAGAAGTTGTTTGACCTTGTTTTCGCAACTTGGTCATGCTGGTAGGGAGACTTAGAGGAACGCACCTTGTCTGGAGTCCATTGTATGCATAATCATTTCCAAAGTCGGATATTCATGGGAATGTACCACGTCCACGGTCCGAATTTGGAAATGATGATGCATACAATGGACTCCAGACTAGGTGCGTTC